CCCGTAGTTTGTTCACGTGTTTCTGATTTCACAGCTGAAATTTTCTTTAGTTTCATTTCTTTTCGATCGAATCTTTTCTTCAAAATTAAATTTTCAGAGAGCTGTTGCAAATAGTTGCAAATATTTTCGAACGTTTTTCTTTCAAAGCGAAATGCAACTTCATCGCTTTGTCATCGATGTTTAGTCATCTGCCGAGTGATGCGATCATATTTTGTTGTTTCGCAATTATGAGCTGTGATTCTTACACCGTTATCTGCATTCTTCTAGAGAATCTATATCACTTGTTCTTTTGTCAACTCTGAACCAAAGATAACCGTCCTTTATATCTGTAGAGACGTAAAGCTTAGAAGTCCTGCGCTCACCTTCCCAGCCGTTTTTCATTTTCTTCTTGATTATCCTGGGCAGCAAGAGTTTTGTAGATGCAATTTTTAATTCGAAATCCTTCGTGCCTTCAACACAGTGAGTTTATGTTGATTCCAAATCTACCATATAAAAAAACGCTTTATATCTGAAATTTGATCCTTTTCATGGGAAGAAGGGAGCAGTTTTGTCAAAAAATCAGTAAAAGTATTCTCATTTTCCTCGAGTGCGAAAGTTGTCTTCCCCTCCAGTCTCATTATTAAAGATTTTATGTCTAGAATTAAGTGGGTTACTGAACTTCTTCTATGAAACGGAAATTTCTATTTCTAAAAATTCCATGTTTGTTGTCGTCGTCACTGTGACTATCCTTGAAAAAGCGAAGAAATGACAGAAAGCAAATATGCTAAAAATTGTAAAAAGCATTCAAAATATTTCGCTTCCTTATTCTCTCCAAAAAATCTCCCCGTCGCAAAATTTTACGGCTGGCATTTAGAAAAAATTAATTAACTCCAATGAATGTTTACTATCTCAAAGATCGGACATTTAGCGGAAGATAGCTTATCACCATCCTTCCTTGATCTATGGCCGTTATCGCAACTATTTCAGCGTCGTCTTTTGTAGTCGCCACTGTGCTTACAATTTTCTTTCTCTTATATGGAGGAGCTTTTAAAAGATTTTTATGGTTCGAGTCGTTCCTGTACAGTAAAAACAATTTAACGACCACGTTGTTTCCCGCAATCTTAATTCTTGTTGAAAAAAAAAGCATTTCTGTGCAATAGTCCAAGTATAGAAGATCACATTACGTTCGCATTCTTCACTCTGGCTAGATCTGCACTGGATTCATTTGCCCTTTGATACTTTAACTATCAAGCACTTTCTGTTTACCACAGCAGATTGTAACGTAAACTTCGCACAGCTATCCATTACGAACCTCCAGCAGCAATGAATAATTTACATGATAGTCTATACCAAGCTAAGTAAAATAAATTCATGACAAATTTGTACAGCTCTATCTCTTAAATACTTGATTTTGAAACCTGAGAGAATTGTGAGACTATCAGAACACTCCATTTTTGATGGGGTCTATTTGATTTAAAGCTGGTTTTCATCAAAACTTAGCACATTCTTTGTTAGATATCCCGTCCAGGGGTCAGTGAGTCAAATTTCCACCTCTACATGCTTCTACCTAAACTTGGAATCTTCGGGGGACCTCAAAATTTTAACAGATCATTACCAAACACTGAATATGGCACTCAAGTGGTTTCATGCTTGATCTTTGTTCGTAGTTGTCACATTCAAAGTGCATCATCAGGCGAGTGAGTGCACCTATGAGTGCAAACATTCCAATATAATGTCAATATTTATACATTTTTTGTCTAATCCGTAAATCGAACGCTTACAGGGTATGCGGCCACTTATATTTGCACTATGCGCCGCACTTTGCACGGGTATCAAAATTCGAGAAAGCAAGAACTACCTCAATGACAATGTAAGGAACTATGTTGAGTTTGTGCCAACTAAAGATAATTGACTGAAAATTTTAGCGAGTTCCGCCACTACCCAAGCCAGCAAATTCTCATGGAACATCACGATTTAACTACACCTATTTGTCAGTGTGCTTGAATGGTACTCATGACGATCCTTTGATCACTGTATATGCAAAAGAATGTGAAGATAAGGCATCCCAAGTGGCACTGGGCAAGTACACCAATCAGGTGAATACCACTGGGTAAGTCTGAATCAATAACGAAAAATTTAGAGCGCATTTTTCATGTCGACAAAGTTCGAGAAAAATGCTTTGCAAGACCAAGTTGTAATTTCGAAATAGATCCATCAAAATTAAAGTAGTCAGATTTTTCTTTTACGAGAAAAGAAAACATCCTTTGAGCAAAAAAATAGGTGAATAGGCGCTGATTTATGAATTCAGATGGGGCATTTTGGAGATCGAAACATTTGCTGGACATCCATATGATGTACAAGCTTACGCAGCTGGTGTCGCCGAAGGTGAGAATTTCTTTGAATTTCTTATTTTCAATTTCTCAAAATCATAATATCAGAATGAGAACGATGGAAAAATGTGTTGGATAGGGTAGCCAGGAAGTTGCTTCTGTTATTAAAAGGCAACAATCCTAGGCGGGATTTTTTGAATAAAATTCATTATTATATCGTATTGTATTATTCGGGATTTTTAGACGAAAACACGTTACAGAAAGTGTCGTGGCCCTTCAGTTAAATAAATGAAGTTGAAAGGATAGCAATTGGAAAATAATGCTCG